TATACTGCTTTGCCAGCTGTGTTGTATCAAGACATGATCGATTTGATTTCGTGTTTGCGAATCCGGTGATGTCCAAGTATATTTATGAATATCCTTATGTTTAAACGTCGTACCTTTAATTATCAGGTTTTTCGAGATGGCAAAGTTTATCAGACGGATCCCATTATCATTACTATATTCGTGCAAACTTTCTTTACCAATCGTCGGAATATAAACTTCTTCCCTTCCTACCTTTGCGTTCGCGTCACCTACAATTATTTTTATGTAGTTTCGCGGTAGTTTATCATAAACCCATTTGAGTTTATCGTAAAATTCACTTTTGACTTCATCGTCACTGTCTTCGGTCGGACAATGTATGTTTATTAATGCGATTTTAAACCAACGTCCCTGAAATGTAGCTACCGAAATTCTATCACTAAAGAATTGTACGTCCCTCAAAGCGGATAGTAATCTACTCCTAATTAGAAACCCGGTACCTAAACAATGATTCCCGCTTCCTCCGTACCAAATAGTGTACTTCCCTTCACTCATCGAGCCCTCCCCTGGCCAGCGAACCTCTTGCAGAGCCACGACATCCAAATTGTACCCATTTACCTCATTCGCGACCGATTTTAGCCCCCCTGCTGTGTTTAAACTCCTTACGTTCCACGTACCAATATTTAAATCCCTATATTTCAACTTGCGCCATGAATTCCCTAAAGCAGTCCCCACCCGGAGACCCGAACGGGGGACTAGTTTACCTCCGGATAATGAGCGTTTTACCTTAGGGAGATCCATGACTTTTTGTGGTATTTGGTGAACTAAAGATATGTGAGTAGAGTAATGGGAGAATTGTAGAGTAAGTATATATTGTCCTTACTCTACAATTCTCCCATTCCAATGTAGGACCTATCACTATCTTTCTTTTCAATAAATTTAATGTATTGTCAAGTTAATTTACTAATTTCGTTGGACTTTATTATGTTTATGTCAATAAAAAATCTAAATATAACTATTCTGTAGCACTTATCTAAGATCTAAAGTAACATGTTTAATAAATAGCAATAAGCTAATAGGTAACTAAAAAATCCTTTTAGGACATACCAGTTTGGTCTTGCTTATGGGCAACACTAGTGTATAGTATTTTTAAGAAAACGCTCCCAATAACATAATAATAAGCCCTTACGTTTCATAAATCAGAAACAGTACGATATTTAACATTGTGATAAAAAAAATCGATAGTATTTTTTAAAAATATATCTTTGATAACGAATTAGTACACTTTCATATCGAATCAGTTGGAAAAGAGACAATTGTTAATCCGATGATAAACAAAAATCGATATTCGATCGCATAATCATAAAATCAATAGTAATTTTAAAACTACACTTTCAATAACATGATAATAAACCTCTACATCAATAAATCCAAAAATACTCGATAAATCAATATATCGAATTGATTACGCGGTCGGAATCTTAAAATTGAATGAATAAAAAATAATTTTATTCTGGGACTGAACGCCCCTTAGAATAATAGCAGAGTTCAAAAAAATATGTACATCAGTCTGGCATTTAGATATAATACAGATGTATACAAAAAAAAAACTAAGGAAAATACAAATATTTACAAAAAATACTAAAGAAAATACAAATATATACAAAAACACTAAGGATAATACTGAGAGAAAATAATTAAATAACAATAAAATACTGCTTATCAATTAACTACTGTTGAGCAACTGTAGTTATATAGCCTAAAATTTCTTATAAGCTTGCGGGAGATTGAATGTGTAGTAGGAGGTGGAATAGTTGTTTGAAGGAATTTGTGGATATGGTTTGACGTATGGAGATAGGTAAGGAGTTCCAAAAGGAGTATATAGATCTATAGGTTGAGATCTGGTATTAAGAGAGTGCATAGAGGAACGTAGAGTAAGGAGTTCTAGGACGCAGGGAGGATTTTTGGTTCTGAGGACTTGGAAAAGGAAAATGACATGAAGGAACTGCCGTCGGGAAACAGGGTAGAGCACTTCAACTCAGTGTACAAACTGGAAACATGGTAATGCCTAGGAATCCCAAATATAACTCTTACTAAGCAATTCATAAGTCTCTTCAGTCTCCCCTCCAATCTTGTGGACAGTCCTCCATACACCAAGTAACCGTAGTCAAAGTGGGGGGAAACAAGGGATGGTACAAGGAGATGTCTGTTTTTTTCTGGAATAGAATCACGGAATCGTAAGAATTGTTATGGATTTAAGGGTAATCTGGGAAATGTGGTTATTCCAAGAGAAGTTCTGATCAAAGAATACTCCGAGGTTTTTGACAGTCGGAAAGCAATGGGTGGGACGGTTATTAAGGTAAAGTAGGGAAGAGAAATGAAGGAAACTAATGAGATGCCTAGAACCGATGAGAATAGCCTTAGTTTTATCTGCCCACCAGTGGATACAGTCAATATCCTCTTGCAGTTTTCGGGTAGCCTCAAGCATCTCAGAAGGTTGGAACGATAGGTAAATTTGGAAATCGTCTGCATGTAACTGTAACAAGGCAGGTTTTGTGGAGTATTGAGAGCGAAATTCGGATGGTAACGGATTGAGGAGACGGTTTTGCTCGAGAAAGTTATTCAATTGAGAGTAAACTAATCTTTCTAGAGGCTTGGATAAATCAGATAAAATGGAAATGGGTCTGAAGTTAAAGGGTATTTTGGATTTATGATTTGGTGCTTGAGATAGTACATTGTTAAAGTTTTGCGCTTTGGCGCGGCGTAAGGATATTTGTGTGCTGTTCCGTAAGGATTTGAAGATATTATAGTGATGGGGAAGTCGTGTACGTCTGTATCGTCGTTCTGGATTTATCCAGGGAGAAGGAGAACGTCTAAAAATATGGGCTTAAAAAGGAGAATGATGGTTAAGGAAATCAAGGAGGTTAGAAGAAAGACATTCCACCATGCCATCGATGAAGAAAATTGAGTAGATAGGTTCGAGAGAAACTGATAGTGAATTGAGATAAGGACTGAGGTTTTCAGCGGTTAAGGAATCAAGATCTCTCGAGGAAATTTGTTTTGGAGTAAGTGTAGGAATAATAACATTGTATGAGATTTCGAAAAGATCATGGGATGAGAGAAAGGAAACAGGATTTTGCGAAGAGGATAATAGGTTTTGAGGGGAGTCAATAATAAATAAGTCTAACCAGGTATCAGTGGGTTGGGTATGATGGGTGGATTAAAATAAAAAGGTACAATAAATTGATAGTATTGTCAAGAACTAAGTATGCAATCACATTACAATACACCCTCATAAAGAATAAATCCGAAAATGTACAATAAATCTATATATGTCCCTTATATCGAAAAACTAAAAAACCGTTAAATTTTAAATAGAAAAGGTTGAATTGGACTTGGTAAAAGTAAAATATGATTTAGATAAGGTAGAATTTGGATTGGAAAAAAGTTGATATGAATTGATTTGGGAATGCTATATAAAGCTACAAAATTTAAGATCGTGTTAAGAAAAAATATATAAATATTTTATCCCTGAAAGGACAATTGTTCCTGTATTTCCTTTCTTAGCCCTTCATTTTTCTTCGGAGTAATTACCATTACTAAAATATGTTTTTAAAAAAATCTTCCTCAAATATGATTCCTAAATTTGCTACTGATGCATTTTACAGTATTGTTATTAACACCTATAAATGCAAAGGTGTTCCCTTTTATAGAAGTGAATACGGTTGCAAATATAGGTTTATAATAAAAATAAATATTGTAGTAATATTAATATTGGTTGAAGAAATAAGAATATTCATTCATACGATTATGTGAAGATGTTCCCATTTACAAAGTACTATTTCGAAAATCCTTCGTACCCTCATAAAAATAGTATCGTAAAACTCATATAACATATATAAAAAATTGAAAAATGAAGTGTTATGCTCGAATATCAATAATACTCAATTTGAGGCTTCTGCGCTCATTAAATTAGTAGCGGCTAACAAAAACAAGACATAGGGGGTGGAGATAGCCAATCTGGACAATAGTTTTATTTTTAGCCCTAATTTTACAGGAGTACCGTCATAAATTAGTATTTATTCCATCTATTTAATTGTTAAGTTTTTATTAATTTTGTAGATTTTCTTTTTCTTTTTCTTAATTTTTACATCTTATTTAGCCTGATGAAGGACCTAAACCGGTAGCAAGAGGGAATAACAATTATATACTGGAGGGAAACGTATTTTTCTTGAATTTTATTCTTTGTTTATTATTATATTTGTTCTTGATGGGAAATGTTCTTACCATCGTCAGAAACATATTATTAATAGTTGCTTACTTTTTTTTTTTTTAATTTTTTTATTGACCTACAATTATTATACAATTATGTATAATTCTAGAAAAGAAACACCTTATTTATATCGTCAAAAAAAGAGGGGGAAAAATACATTTCCGGGTATTTCCCTAACAATTCACTGTTTTTGGGAATATCCCGGTCGCAGGACACCCTAATTCAACAAAAAGTAGTTGAAAATTAAAATTATGTTAAGTAGAGTTTTATTGTCTCTCAACACTATTATAAATGTCCTTTGAGACAGATTGTAATATTTTCAATAAACAAGTTAAAGTAGAGTTTTATAAGTATTTAAGCTGCAATATTTCTTTTCAAAATTCCATTGCTTTTGGTGCAAATATTTTTCCGGATAATTAATTTGTGATAGTTTATATTCAATTATCACTATTTCATTATTATTTGTTCTTTTTACAAAAAAAAGTAATTGAATTTCCTATTTGTCTAAATTTATTTGAATTAGGCCCATTTATTTTTTCCATAATAGACATTTATATTCAAACTATGAATATGGTCTAATAAATTTGAATATTTTAAAAATGAATTAATTCAAAAAGTTAAAATAAAAAAAATAAATAAAATGTCTAAACACAATGAATCAATAATAATATAAAAAATGCAGTATCATAAAAATACTTGTTTTCTATAATAATTAATGAGCAAAATGTGAATTAAATACATAATTATGAGAAACGAACATGTATAAAAAACAATATTTTTAGATATTATCACTAACAGAATTTCGGTTTTAAACTAATATGCTGTTTATAAATCTAAAATAATTAAGGAAAAGATGACACCTGGATAATAAACAAATAATAGAAGAGAATTTTGTAAATAATAAACAATGGCAGAACTAACATGCTAATACTGGCGGTTAAATTTCCTTCCCTCTAAGCAATTAATAGACTGTGAGCATTCCATAATAAGATTTAATAAAGTTCCATGATATTTGCAAAAATTGAAAATGGATTCTACAGTATTACGGACATGAAGATGTAAAAGTGACAGAGTTAAATGTTTACAAAATCAAAAACATCTCGAAAAAACATTCATTTATTATTCATCGAATAGTCAACAATTATGAACAACAAATTATATCTAAGGAACACCAGGCAGAGCATAATTTTATATTCCGATAAATTATTTTGACAGGAAGGGAAATTATACTCTTTTTTCGATACCTTCTTTGGCACGCATTGAAACCTTCCAAACAGCATAACCGACTGTCACCTTGCCTTAGCCGAAAACAATTCGAATCCTTCAACAGAAACATCTCTCTAAACGATCGAAACTAAAAGGAAATCGAATTCGATTAGCATTCAAATGCAATTACCATATGTGCCTAATTAGAACGTAAACAAAGAGTCCCGATAGCCAATCGAACTGGGCAATATTAGTGCCATCAAAACGGAACTGATGACAGTTCAGGGTATCACTGAAATTATGTCGAAAGGAAGACCATCAGAAAAACAAGAGTACAGGTAGGAGGTTAGGGCTCGGATATGGTAAATAAACATGGGGCCTAAAATCAATACCGGCTGGGGAAGGAAGGTGGACGGCTAGGGAACATTCTAGAAGCTTACCGTGTTCCTCTTCAGGTTCCAACATCAGCTGTACGGGTTCCTCTGGTAGGGTCCCATCGTCTATCGGCGATCCGTCCGTCCTCTTCTGCCTCACCGCCAACACTCAGCGCCCGCTCCGACCGCTCCAAGCTCGACTCCATGTATCGATACTTGCCACCATCGACCCCGACCGGCACGCACTCCATATCAACCCTAATAGATTTTTAACGCCTCTGAGGGGCTTACCTTTCTTCTATTTTTTCCTTACATAGTAATGTATGATGAGAGGTATCGCATTTAATAAGCGCCGCGTGAAAGACAGTGAAATCGAAAGAGGAAAAAAAAAGAAGGAATGAATGTAGCACTGCATGCATATGATAAATGAATTTCAAAGTCTGGTTTTATATATTACTTTAAATTATTTTAAAAGAGTGTATTAGCAATGAAGGAAAGTGGGAGAGGTAGTAGGGAACCGGCTACAAATCACTAAATTATTTCCAATCTATCTCAGCCTAAAATACATTTCTATGCCACCTCATTTATCTGGATGACCGATTATATACAGTAAACGAGACCTAGATATTTTATAAAAGTAAAAAAAGGATTAAAAAAAAACAACACTAAATCACAGAAACATTATGCAGTTATGTTAATCATTTTGTAAACCATTTCATCCACCTATTTTTCTTAATTAATAAACAATTAATTGGTATCTGAATTAGTTTAGTTTATTGCCAAGTTTCTTAAAATAATTTTTACATAAAATATTTCTTCTTGATATTGCAAAATTGAATTACAAAATAAAATAAAATACAGTGACAACAGTTTTTCTACACAATATTAAAGTCAATAAACGGTCATTTAGTTTAAAAAAAACTACACATCCAAATAGTAATAATTAGTTTTCGAGAATTTTTTAAGAATAATTAATTAACTATCTCAATACTTAATATGTCAAAGACGCAATCAGAAAATAAACGAAGTGAGTCTTCAGAGGAAAAAAGCTATCTAAATCTTTCCATTATTTTATATAAATTACTTAAACCTTCCCGACTGTTTCAGTATTCCTTTGAATTATCATTATTTAATTCCCCTTAGGGGTCTTGCCTTAGCTAGGTTATATTGACGGCTAAGGCTCTGCTACAAACAACCCTTCCTTCCGTTAGTACCCAGTTTATAAGATTTTTCTTTTCTTTTCTTCTTCTCTGATTCTTTTATTTTTATTTATGTATATTAAAAAAAAATATTTAATTTCTGTAAATATTTTTGTAAATACCTCAGATGTAAGAATTAAACTCGTTTTCAGTTATACCAAATCCAAAATTGGTAAGTAGCAACTTAAAATTTTCAATGGTTGTTCAATACAAATTCGACTCTAGTTTTCTAAGAAAAAATAGGAAATCCCACATCAATATTTAAAACCATAAATAAAACGGTTAGCCAAATTCGTTCTGTTTTGTACTTGGGAATTTTAACAGTCGATCCAGAGCTGATTATTTTTTTAGGAATTCCTTGGTTACTGAGCAAAAAAAAAAAAAATATTTTCAATTCAACCGTCGTCATGCTAATACTTCATTAGTATAGTTATACAATTATACTATTTAATACAATACTATACTACAAAATTCATTTTCATAAATCTACAAAAATAAAAAGGTCTTTAAAATTATAATGACAATGCCAACGGTATAGTTTTAATTGCTGATACATACAACCTTAACGCTACCCAAATAATTAATCTGACCATTAATGGTGAGGAGCTTGAAGTATTGAATGAGTTTTGATACCTGAGATAAAGAGACATACAAAATTTATATTTCAGAAATGCCTCGATGTATGTCATCACGACAAAATATGTAGGCCTAAAATTATAACATTTTTTAATAAAAAAAAAATCACAATATAATAAGTATAAGGTATCCTCATGACTACACTTTAAAACCAATTCTTTTTGAACAGCATAGAGAGAATTACCATACAAAATTTCAGCCTCATAAGCATTGTCAGATTTGAGATAAAGCGTTCAAAAGTCAGTATGTGAAGTAAACTCAATGTCAAAACGTTAGACACATCCCTACCCTCCCATCTTTTCAAATTATCCGTAAAAAACAGTATTAAAATAATCTATCACTCACCTAAAGTTAATCAACAGCCTAAGCAGGCTAATATATACTTTTTTTTTTTTTAAATTAAGGCCCGTCAAAGACACGCTCCCTGGTAAAAATAAATAAAACTCACTTTAATACTTCGTGGCTTTTCCATCACCATTAATTCAAAAATTCTGTTGGGTAATGATTTGTAGAACTGTTTGATTGTTTCTTGAGGTAATTGTTGCCATGAAGCCCGAATTGCAAATTTCAAATTCTTGATTGTTCGTGTACATCCTTCTTGAAAGTGTTCCCAAACATTTTCGATAATGTTCAGGTCTGGGAAGACAGCAGGCCAGTGTAATTTGGCAATTTAGTTGCGAGTAAACCAGCCTTTAATAATTTTTGCTGAATGTATTGGGGTGTTATCTTGCTGGAAAACTGGTGTGCCTTCAGACATGTCATAAAAGTCAACTTTTATTCCTCAAACAAATTTTTATATTCAGCTGAGTTTACTCTTAATGAAACAAATACCAAATTTCCTTTCTTTTTGTAACCAATAGAGGCCCAAACCATAACTTTTCCTCCACTGATTTGACGCCTTGATCATTTTTTTTTTCTTCTTTTTTAAGTCATGGAAATAATACGAAAATCCATCTGGCTCATCCAGATTGAATTTTTTTTCATCACTAAAGATGACTTTTTTCCATTTTTGTCCATGATGTCACATTACGAGCACAGGCCATCTGGACTAATTTGTGACGGGTACTCAAAACTGGCTTTCTTTTCAATTTTTTTCTAACTATTGTTTTTTACCTTTTTAATAATCTTTGGACATTTCTTAGTTCTGTTTGAACTGCAGCTTCTTCAGCAACTACTCTTCCTGTTTTACAAGAGTTGGATGCGATTCGAAGAATATTTCTCTCCGTAATGTTATCCACATTGATGTCACCTAACAGGGCTTAAATACCGAATGTTCGATATGTCTTCCTCTAAAGTACCTTGAATTTGTTCAAGAAGGCAATGGATCAGCTGATGCTAAGGTTGTGTTCTCAAATGCTAAGGTACGTATCTAAGGTTTGCCTATTTTTCAGCGGAATTGTTCTGATTATTCACTGAACACAGTTCAAGTGTACAGCAGAGCAGTTTCCATTTACTGTTTGGTATATATATTTTTAATTTTTTTTTTCTCCTTTTTTTCTCTTAAGATGTGCGGCATTGTCACCAAGTGATATCAAGGTGCCCACTAAGAGGACTAGGTCAGACGGCGTTAGTACCCCTCGTGATTCACCTGCCAAACAAAGAACTCGTCACTGCTTACGAGAATCCGCTCGAATAACCACAGTGAACACTTCAGATCCAGAACCTTAGCCTCAACCAGGAAGTATTCGCGAGAAATGGTTGAAGAATCCCCTTTCTTTACTCCAAACCCGTTCCAAGTGCTTCAGAATGGGAGAGAAGTAATGGAGTCAGCACCAATACCCAGGTATTCAAGGCCTCCTCCGATATTTGTAAAATATATAAAAAATTTCCAGCTATTGTGTATACAACTAAACAAAATCTGCTCTGGCAGTTATTCTTGCATCAACAGGACCAATGATTCAAAAATAACACCAGATACTGCAGAAACCTACCGAAAAATTGCGAAGTACCTGTCAGAAACAAATTTCCATACGTACGAGCTGAAACAGGAAAGATCGTTACGAGTGGTGATAAGAAATTTGCACTCCTCAACCCCTACTGAAGTAATAAAAGAAAAACTAACGACGTTTGGTTTCAAAGTGCGTCAGGTAACCAACGTTCTGAAGGAGAATAAGGAGCAGATAGAAGTAAGAAATAAAGTTCCACTACCTTTATTTCTTTGGACCTAGAGCGATCACCTGGTATTGAGAAAATATACGAAATCAAGAGATTCTATTACACTATCGTGAAGATAGAGAAGCCATACTCCAAGAGGGAAATCGTGCAATGCCACAATTCAGTGCAGTGCATATGGCCACACGAAGACTTATTGCCACCACTTGCCGTGTTGCGTAAAATGCGCCGAACAACACAAATCAGCAGAGTGCACCAAACCGATACAAGATACTCCAGTTTGTACCCTATGCCTAGAGAGACTAGATACCGGGGAGTAGTTTAAGGTTAAGAATTTACCATGGTATGGAAAATCTTGATGGGATTGAAATATTTAAGCCAACAGAAGATATTAGAAAATTATATTTTTTTATCTAAAATATATCAAATTAGAGAATTGGTAGAGTAATCTGGAATATTGTCCTCTGCATATTATGCCAAAAAGTCCATATTCTATATCGGCATGTAATCTGCACGGGTATTAATCTCGTTTGTACTCTCAGGTATAGGGGTAATCTTTTAATTTAATTTTAAAACAGTTTAATATTAATATTTTTTTTAAATGTGTATTTATTGTTTTATATGTATATATTTATGTATATTGTTGACAATTTTAGATTTTATATTAATTTGATAATTGGAACTATTTTAACTGTCTGATCTTTACCGAATATGATTTTTAATTTATGCATAAGAGTGTTGTAATATCTGTTAGGAATTTTTATCCCCATGAGGATAATAATGTTTGTTATTTTGTGACAGACTCCATTTGTATAGGGTTCTTCCCTTAAAACAAATAAACATTGAATCAAAGACTAGGGTAGCAATATGCTCTGTTATTTCAATTTGTACTAAATCAAAGCTGAGAACGTGGGATAGCAGAATAAAAGTAAATGATTCAATTGCAATTTGTATCCTTCACTATAATGGTCACCTATGGGGTCTCAGGTATATTGATAAGCTAGGAAGCGCAAGCTTAAACTTTTATAAATGTATATACATACATATATATAATTTTATAAACGTATAAAGCTAAATAAGCATTGTCCCTCCAGGTTAATGAGATTGGAATTTAAAATACTTCATTGCTCAGGAAGTCTATCGATAAAGTGCAGATCGGCTCTGTGATTTTATGTAATTTGAGTGGTGTAAATACATTATTAGATCATTATGTTTGGTATAGTGGTGTATCTTAGTATGTTTAAATTATTTTATTAGAAACAAAGAATGTTGTGAATAGCAAGTGATATTTTTCAAATTATCAG